AGTATTAGGTATGTTCACCACCTTGAGTTATTTATAAAAATAATAAAGGTCAGATAAAAAAATCTAAAAGAACAGGAAAAAAAAGACGCCGCATTCCAGGCAGACCACATGATTCTGGTCCAGTACAAATTGCTCAGCTTAGGAACTTACAGAGGTTCAAGTCTGTCAAAGGAAAATGATGACTCAAGGACTATAAAGTTATGCTCATGAACAGAATTCCAAAATCATATATAAAACTGAGAATTATGTACTATTCCCAATTTGTACAGAAACACAAGCACAAGAGACAAAAAGAGCTTAGCTAACATATACCCCACACAGCAAAATAAATAAAAGGTCTAATGAAAATTCCTGGCTAAAACACTGATCACTTTCTACACAAACAAGCTGAATATCAGAGCTGTTGGGGAGATGGTACATCCTTGCTCTGGCACAGAGCTTCCTTCCATCTCTATGTTCCCTATTTTTAAAAGAATAACCCTTTTTCTCTATCTGGGAGAGGAGAAGGGTAAGGATTCTCTTCTGAGCATATGAACTGTACCTGAGGGGTGGTGTAATACATCAGACTCAGATTGCCTAGGCATTTAGACTAGCAGAGAGACTGCAGTGTTATGCATGCTTGCTAGCTATTCACAACATCAGTATTGGGAGTTTGTAAGGCAGGGAGATTTTTTCGCCATGGAGAATGCAGCAGCATGGGAAAAATTTTGCAATTCTTTCACTTTTACTGAGAGAGGAAACAATGTATATCTAAGCATAGATCTGAGGGATGTGGCACTCAGTTCCTGGCCTGCAAGTGAACATTGATTGACTGCTAGGTCCCTCTGCTTGGCTATTGGTCAGAAGGGGCTGGTAACTTTCTGTGGGCTCCAGATTCACAAAGATATGTTATGCAACTAGACAAACAGCCTTGATCAGTTATCCCCAATCAATACAGCCAAGAAATGGGCTCACCGACACTATCAGGGCCCCAGGCTCGATGGCAAAACCAGGTCTTTAAGACCTTGCAAAAAACCAGCAGGTTCAGAGTAAGCCTGATCTCCAGAGGGATGATGTTTCAGAGGGTGGCGCTGTGCCAGAAAAGGCTCTCTTCCTGGGTCCCACCAGATGGCGCTCCCTCACAGACAGGACTTGGAGCATGCCTCTCCCGCTGGATCTAACAGGATGGATAGATACCACCGGGGAGAGATGGTGCCATAAATAACAGCTCCCTTTTACAATCCCTTGCTTTTGTCCACACTGACTGAATATTACTAGACCCTAAAATGTGAAATACCTGGACAGTATCAAATTGCCTATCCTACATACAAAAACAAGGGCATAGTTTATTGGCAGACCACATGTTCTGCATGCAAAGGTGTCAAACCCTTCCATTTCCAGGTTGGGCTGGGAAAATCTTCTCTCTGAAACCTTGAGCAACAAGTTTAAATAATAATTAGTGGATGGACATGGCATACAGCAGTTTGATATAGGAAATTCTACATGTTTCTGCATATGTCTCAAAACAGGATACAGAAGAATTTATTGGAATAAGCCTTAGGAAAAACTCTGATTTTCTATACTATTGTTTGAAGACTTAAGTAGAATGGTAGCTCCATCTTGTGTGAAAAACTGACTATGTCCTGAATACTTTTTCTACAGCCAATGGAGAGATTCTTCATATACCAGTGTGCATTAACTATCTTCTGATTTTCCCACTGAAAACAGCACAAGGTTTTGTACAAAATTAGCAGGAGGATTTTCTCCCATATAAGCCTGACTGTACAGTTAAGATCATTTACAGAGGCCTGCCTCTGTCACCAGAGCTTATTCTGCACAAGGGAAAGGGTCACGTTAAGAGTATGAATTACCCTCCCATTTAAATTTCATTTTTAAAAATTTATTTCTATTAGAATTTTTAAATACAATAAAAGTATAAAGAATTAAAGGAAAGATAGGAAAAAGAGAAAAAAGAAAAGAAAATGTAGAATTACGACTTTTCCCTTCTTTCTATTGAATTGCCATCTTACTCTTTCCCCTCCCTCTTTTTTTCCCTCCCATTTAAATTTCAATACACAATAAAACAATGGAATGGAAAACATGCAAAAAGTAGCAAAATACACATGAGCAATATTAAAAACCAGACCAGAGGAAAATTAAATGGAGAGGCCTAAGAAAAAATAAGGATTAAGGTCTGATGCCCAGATAACATCATACTAGCTACAAGCTTCCCCAAACAGAGCATCCCATAATCTGCGTGCTGCCAATTTTTCCTGGGAATACCTCCTCACACCTTACATAGTAGCAAAACAAGGGACCTTTGATGACCAACTGGGTTTATGGGTAGGGAACCTGAAACCCTTCAAATATTACAGGACTGCAGTGCTCTAATATCTATATGAAACTGCTGGTGAGGCATAGGGTTAAATATCATCAGGATGCTGACGATGAAACTGAAGTGTTCTCCCAGTGCTTGGAGGCTGTTCGGGACTGGGTGGGGAAGAACTAGCTTCAGCTCAACTCTGACAAGGCTGTGGGTTTTAGGACCCTTGGTATCTAGTGATTTTCTACTGTTAACTCTGCATGGGGTTACACTTCCCCAGGTAGAGTTGGTGCATCTGGGGGTGCTCCTGGACTCGTAGCTCTTGCTCACAGAACAGGTGCAGCTGTGGCTGGAGAGCCTTTGCAGAAATACATCTTGTGTGCCAGTTGCATCCATTCCTAGATTGGGAGGCACTGCTCTCAGTCACTCATGCCTTAATCACCTCCCACTTGGACAGCTGCAACATGCTGTACATGAGGCTACCCCTGAAGAGTATTTGGAAGCTGCAGCTGGTCCAGAATGCACATGCAGTTTTGGGGACATCATGGTACACCTATGTAATACTGCTACTACATCAGCTGCACTGGCTCCCACTAGGCTTCCAGTACCATTCAAGGTGCTGGTTGACACCTTTAAAGCTATTCATAGCATGGGGCCAGGTTACTTGTGGGACTGCTTATGCCTGATGTTTTCTACCTGTCCCACCATGTCTGGCACAATGGGCACGTTCTAGGTCCCCTTGATGAAGCAGTGTTACCTAGTGGACCCTTGGAAATGCCCCTGCCTTCTGGAACAGCCTGCTCCTAGAGATACAGACAGCCCCCAGTTATATTTTCCTGTCTGGTGAGTTCAGGCAGAGTGCGTACACTCTGGGTACCATTGATTAAACAGTGTCATCTTGCAGGACACAGGAAGGATGCCTTCTTTGTCACAGTGCCTGCCTCTGAAATGCACCCTCTCCCAAAGATCCATACAGTCCCCACCCTAATGACATTCAGAAAATCATTTAGAAGTTGGTTGTTCTGCCAAACCTTGGGGTGGGGTGGTTGTGGAATAAGTTTGGTTTTTATTGGTACTGAGTTAGTCTTCCCATCAGCTATGACTTTGTTTTGTATATGTTCTTTCTTTTTTAACTGTAAGCTGCCCAGAGTTGCTTAGGAGTTGAGCAGCCTCAAAACTGAAATCCATCAGTCAAAATATTGGCCTTTCAGGAGGCCATGAAGATCTGGTTTGTCCCGCAGGCAATAGGGCCTGGATGTTAATTTACTGTAGCTCTGGCATGTATATATAAATTACATTGGGGAAGCTGATATTTTTTATTGGGACCTCAGCTTGGATTTTGTTTTGTTTTTTTATGGATTGGAAGTTTGTTCTACCTAGTGGGCACAGTCAGATGGATATCGGCAGGCCACACTATAGCCGGCAGAACTAAAAAGACCAGGTGGACCTATATAAGGAGTAGGCAATTCCTGGATCTGTCTCAAGCATGAAGTCTGACTGGAATTAATCTAGATAACTAATGTCTTCCAAGAGGGTCAGCACTGCATGAGTTTGTGTTATTTATGAAGCTTTATACCACCTCAATCACAACTGTTTCTAAGCAGTCCACAGCCCAACGCTATTCTGTACATAATAATTGTTGTACTCCACCCAGAGTCACCTTGTGTGAGATGGGCAGCTATATAAATATGATAAATAAATAAATAAATAAATAAATAAATAAATAAATATGGAAGAGAGAGAGAAAAGACAAGTTCTCATCTTAAGAGAACCCAAACTTCTCTGGACTGAGATAATACTATTAAATATATTTTAGTTTGAGATGTAGATATGACTTGAGATTGTTCATTATATCAGGATGCTGCTATGTTTTCATGGTCTTCTGTTTTTCAGGTGATGATCAGCACAGAAAGAGGTGCTTGGGTAATAAGTCGTGTTTTTGATAATGGCTACCCCTGGGACATGATGTTCCTATCTCGTTTTTTGAATATTATCCGAAATAGCCTCCCTGGACGTATCACAACATGGTTGATTGCAAGCAGAGTGAGCCAGTGGTTTAACCATGCAAACTATGGCTTAATTCCCCAAGACAGGTACTGGGAATAAATTGGAGGCTAAAGTTGGGTAGATAATAAAGTTGACAAATACAAATATTTCTTCTAAATTGTAAGTTTATAACATAAAATCCGAGTTGAAGGAAAATGGGAAGAAATTGTATTTCCAGGTTGAAAATGTAGAAGTAGGCCTGATCTGGGAAAATTTCGTACCTTAGTCAGGAAAAGCAAAATCCCATTGCACAAATCTGCTGTGCAAGTTTTTTTTTTTTTTAATAAGGTTTGAATGGGAAAACTCAGTGTGTAGCCCAAACTTGGGCTTTACTACTTCAGGGAGCCAAGCGATCACCCGAAGTACGCGATGTGGTTCATCGGTAACACACAAGCCTGACATCAACATCAGAGTATGCATCAGGGTTAATACTGATCTCTACCACATCATTTTTTCTTAGTTTTTTAAAATTTATAGTTAAGATCTGGGAGATCAAGCATGCTTATGGCTACAGTTGCATATTTGATTATTTCTACATTTAAATATATATCTACAACTAGATTATGCTTATTTAATCATATCAATTTTTAATATAAGGAAATCAATAGCAAATTCAGTTTTATTCCTAAGATCATGATCTGTGTGTGTGTGTGTGTGTGTATGTATGTATATATACACACACACAAACACCAAGATTTTCCTCCCCTCTGATTGTAGAAGTATTTTAAAGTAGGGAATACTAAAGTTTGTAGAATTTCTATTCTGGATAGATATCTCAAATCTCTCCCTTCCCTCCAGGAGTTTTTTAAGTCTTCAGACCCTGATCCTTCTCCTGCTTTAGTGACCTGGTACTTCCTAACAAATCAAAATACAAAAATTGAAATAATTTCTATAGTGCCACCTCCTGGCCATGCATCCTGACCAAGTAGTCTAGCATTCTGACTAGATGATTCAGTACTAATTTCTTTCCCTTGGGAGATAAACCAATCTCACTGAAGATCAACAGAATCAAACTTTATTGACAGAGAGAGAGAGAGAAAGTATAATGTAATGTAACATAATGTTGAAGATGCTTTTTAACTTTATGTATTAAAATGCCAGTTTGATGTAGTGGTTAAGGCACCATGCTTGAAACTGGGAGACCGTGAGTTTAGTCCTGCCTTAGGCATGAAACCAGCTGGGTGACCTTGGGCCAGTCACTCTCTCTCAGCCCTAGCAAGCAGGCAAGGGCAAACCAATTCTGAAATCTTGCCAAGGAAACTGCAGGGACTAGTCCAAAAAAAACCCAAAACAAAACCCTGACTCAAATGCGCACATACACACACTAAAATGCAAATGTTCAATGGAGAAATTGATAACTACAGAACTATCAAGATCACAATACTATAGCAGCTTGGAAACTAGTTAAAAGAGAACAATCCAAAGGAAAGTAGATCAGACCACAATTTGGCAATGATCCATCACAGATAAAGAGCTTACTAGACAAATTCCCTGTAAAGAAATTATTACCAATCATAAGATTCCAAAGAAAATTGTATTTTCATGCATAGCCTGAATTATGAATGAAGGCAGACATTAAATACCAATTCCATAATTTGTGCAGGGAGATGTAGCGCAACACAGAAAACAGAAATGAAAAGCTTAGTGCAAATTCATGGCTATACATATATCATATTTCTATAGAATTAGCAGGCTTCTCAAAACAAATATCCTCTGCTTCCTTTCCTGCACTTCTATAGCTTCTTGGAGATTCCAAACATTAATCAGAGGTAGCTGGAGAGATGGTAGTTGTATTCCTTCCCAATTTCTTTTTCCAGATTTCTGCCCTTTGTTTTAAAAAGACCAATCCTTTTCTTTATCCAAAGGAGGGAATAGCTGGGGTAATATGACTTGTACGTGACAAAAAGCCATTTCTTGCTCACGGGGATATGGATTGTATGTCTGCAGTCTGACATGCAGCCTCCATTCAAAACATGAGCATTAAAAGGGGCTCCAAGGTTTAAATTTATTTTGTTCTACTACTGATTGTGCTACCTCCTGAGACTACATCCTGGTCTGGCCTTAGGTAGACTCACTTCAGTCTTTCAGAACAAAGTAACACTCTTTTGTAGAGCAAGGTTGCAAGCAGAGTAATTTGCTAACTATATTTGTACAAATCTAGCCATAATTGACAAGACAGCAAGCATTCTAAATCCTAGATTTGAAAGGAACTGTTTCTTACATAACGCTTAGTGCTTCTCTCTGAGTCTACAGGAGTAGTTTCCTAAGCTGTGAAAGATGAAAGCAGAGATTTGCAAACTCTGCTTCTTTTGTCTTAAGAGATATAAATGAATTTTCCCCTCACCATAGTACTAGATTTCAAGGCCAGCCAATGAAATTGTTAGGCAAGAGATTTGGAACACATCAAATGAAATACATCTTTACACCATGCTAATGGAGTTCACTTGTACAAGCTGTGAGAATTGCCATTAGTTTAGCCAGCTTAGAACACACACACACACAAACATATACATATACATTCTTGGAGGATAACATTATTCATTCATAGCTAAATGAATGAAAATTCCAGGTTCAGACTCAAAGGGAAATGTCTTTCTCATAACCTGCTTATATGATCTCCAGAAGCTAACCTATGTTAGAAACCATACTCTGATTTGATCCAGTAAGAAGGATATAGTATAAAAATGCTGAAAAGGAAAGATAGCCCAGGGGCTACCTCCTTTGCCTGAAACATACTAATTGCCTTTATCTTTCTTCCTAGGAGTGTGATGAGAGAGCCTATTTTAAATGATCTACTTCCTCCATGTATTCTCACTGGAAAGATCTCTATTATGCCTGCAGTGAAAGAGTTCAAAGAGAATGCTGTTGTGTTTGTAAATGTTCCCACTGCAGAGGAAGTAGATATTGTTGTCTTTGCCACTGGATACAAAGCTTCTTTTCCTTTCATTGATGAATCAATCCTCAAGGTTGAAAACGGTCATGCTTCCTTGTACAAATACATCTTTCTTCCTCAATTAGAAAAACCAACACTAGCCATTATAGGCTTCATCAAGCCCTTTGGTGCAGTCATGCCAGTTGTGGAAATCCAAGCACGCTGGGTCACACGTGTCTTTAATGGTATGTGGAATGAGATGCAAGCCCCTAATAAGTCCTTGAGCGTATCTATTATACATGCAAAATGCTGCTGGATCTAAGACTGATGATATGAATTAAACTTGGTGTTCTTTGATAGTACCTTCACAGTAGGAGCTACTAGCCTGCTTTCAGATGTACCTCTACTAGATAGATATAGTGTAGATAACCAGCTCAGTGGAGACCAATATCATATCTCATACATGTATTTTAATGATAACTCCAGGCAGCCTCCCCCACCCTGAGATACTGACCAGATCCATACTTGCTTCCACTTAGCAGAGTGGCTGCACCCTATACCATCTTACTATACTCTTGCCTTGGAGGATTCCCCCTTGTTGTTTAGAGTTTTTGAAACTGGCCTACCTTATTAAACTAAAAAACTCACTGTTCATAATTAACTGAGTTCATCTTGTGCTGCTCAGCTCTACTCATGCAAGTAAGCCTGCATTTTTATACCTTCTAAAATAGAGGTAATTGGGGATTCAGGGACCTATTCTAACTTCAGGGTCTTTCCATCTGATTTCTAGAATAACCTCTGTTCCAAAGATTGCACCCATTACATACCTCAGATGCATCCTTTCAACTTAGGTGCAGACCTCTTCTCACTTCTTCCACTCTTTAAACCCAGTTATTTACTTTATTGCTTCACTCCTGTTTGCAGAGTTGAGATGCAGGCAATTGAGAATAACTAAGTGATATTCAGGTAGTCCCCAGTTTAAGAACAAGTTCCATTCCCAAGGTCTATCCTTAAGTCAAATTTGTATGCAAGCCAGAACAGTGTTATTGTATAATACTGTATAAGTAGTAATGTGTAATTAACTTGAACCATTGTGTATTTAACTCAAATCATTGTGTATTTAATTCAAATTTTGCTACAATAGGCTCCGTTCTTAACTATGGGTCATCCATAAACTGGACATTCTCAACCTGGGGACTACCTGCATAAAAAAGCAGGGGTAAGCCAATTCTCCAAGTCAGAGGCTGCAACTTGTTTCACTGGTCAGTCTTTTTTTTTTGAGTGGAGGGGCTGTTTTTAAGATGCTTAAGGGTAAAAATAGTAGTAGGAAGCCTTGGGGTAGCATACTCCCATTTCAATTCTCAGAATATATCTCACATCGTTTTGAGGAAAACAAGTAAACCTTCAACTGTAAGAAGATCACTCCAGTTACAAGATAATCTCATGATCATTTCCATTTGGGCATTTTTTATTTGCCAAATCTTATTTGAAATCTTCATTTCACACAGCAATTTATGCTTACTGAGAGATGGGCAGCCAGTTTTTCTGTTTGATGGTACTCTTCCACTAAAATTATTGTTTACTTGCTTTGGTACCAAAAAGAAAGTGCCTTGCTGAAACATTCCCTATCCTTTCAGATTTGTGTAAATTGCCTCCAGAGAAAACCATGATGGCAGAAATCAATGAAAAGAAAAAAAACAAAGTCAACTGGTAAGTCTTTTTTGGTAATTAAGACCATGTTGAGCCAAATCTCCTTGGCTGGACAAAAATGCACTCAAATTGTTAGCTGACCAGCCTTCAGCACATGCTTGATCTTTGGAAAACACTTAAAGTTGTATACAGTGTAAATATCGTCAATTGCTAATACTTTTATATCACACAGCAGATAAACGATCATCTCCTAAGACCAATCACAAACTAAAGCTGATGCAGTTGAGAGAGGAAGGAACTAAAATCTGCCAAAAGTCTCCCCTTTGTCCAGAATTAAGAGGAACCGGAGGGACATGGACAAATCTTCATCTAACAACCTCAGCCTACTAGTTCAGGTCACATGGCTAAGTACTGGCATACAGTTAAAAAGGCTGGGAGCACTAAATTTTATTTCCATAAATGTTAATTGATTTAAACCAGATTACCCAGTTTAATCTTTATACAACCATTCCATAAGCCTCACCAGCTTGATTGTAAATTCAGTTCTAGCAGAGGGCTGTTTCAATGCACATGGTAATAGAATCTGAATATCTTAATGTACTGTTTATTCTTAGAAAACATATGATAATCTTTAGTATACCGACCATCACAACAGTCTTTGAGAAAATGGAAACAATTTCCCTGTTCAGTCATGATCAAATTAGTTAGGAGAAAAGGTTAGTAGGTTGTTATAAGTCATACCATTCTGCACTGTATTTTAGATTCAGGATCCACTAAGTTCCAAGACTTTTAATTATGCAATTTTATTTTTAAGAATTTTATCCTCGCTCTTCTGCCCAAAATGGTTCTCAGATTGGTGCCTTGCAATTAAAATAAGCACAATTATTAACACACATGCAAAGCAGAACAGACAACTATCATTTGATTGCAACTAATTCCCAAATCACTATATATGTCATCTGCTTGTAAACCCCATTTCCTTTATCTACTTCAGATTGCAGACTGTTATCTTGCTTCTTCGGTATACCTATTAATCTGCAGCTCATAATTAGTCAACAGCTTAGCCCAGAGAATAGGAACAAGCCAGTGTTAATTGTATCTGCCTCAAACACAATACTTGCCAAGTTTACTACTCCCACCTACTTTAAGCACTCCATGAACTCATCAATAGCAAAAACAGAAACAAAAGTTTAAAGGCACACCTATACAAGGGGGGGGAAAAGCTTCAAGCCCCTCCCCTCCCCATATACACACAGAATCCTTGAAGTTGCACCCTATATTTGTGGGCATTTGTCTGGTGTAGTTTTGGAGAACTACAGCATCTTCACTTCATGGTGGCACCTCAACATAGTAGATGAAATGTACTTGCCTTGCAAAGCTTGCCAAGTGCCGTATGATTGCTGACTTTCATGCTAGCATTATAGGTCCCAGGTGGGAAAAACATGAGCTCAAATCAAGGACCGTGGCAGGCAGCATGTCCAATCAGAAAACAGATGCCCCATATCTCAGAAAAACACAGTAGTTGTTTA